TCTGTTGAAAAAAAAAAAAAGACAGATTTGAAGGAGTTCCTCTTCTATCACCTTCTGTGGCTTAAGAGTTAGCATTACTTAAACAGCTTAAGTCTTTTCAATTACTTAGATCTCTTTCCTCCCTTGTTTTCTTACAGCTGGTGAACATTAAAATTTCTTTTTTTCAATTTTTCCTTGGCATAGAATTAATCTAATGTCGCTACTAAAATCTTCCTTGGCCAAAATCCTAGAGCTAGTTTTCAATCTGTATTTCTCTTTGTTTTTAAAACCAGATATTACTTGTGTTTTTGAAGGATAACCCAGTTCCCCTGGTTAGTTAAAATTGGTATATTAGTAACTTTCTATCAAGAATGTGAATGTAATTATATTAGAGGGCAGTCCATAGGAGTCACACAGGACAGAAACCAGTGACACATGTTCTTTCCTAACTTTTCCATCAGTAGTTTCATGAAAACATCAATAGTCATTCTTATTTAGGAGGTTGTATTAGAACATCTATCTATATTAAAACATTAGAACTTCAAATGTATTAGAACATTATTCCTGGGTCCTACCATGTAAGACACTGCTTTAGAGTAAAACCTGGGCTTTGTAGTGTGTTTTAAGTTCTACAGTAAAAGTTGCTGCATCAAGTTACTCCTTAAATAAATGTTTATGAAGGGCTGGTCCTCACACTCATTTTAGTCCATAACAAAGTTTTCACTGGACCATAGTGAAATAAGAAACAAGAAAAGCTAAACGTCCCATTTTTAACTTATAAATTGTTGTCCCTCACTTCTACTCCCCCACCACACACCTCTTTTGGTGTTAAAATAGTCTCCCTTTTAGGGCGCCTGGGTGGCTCAGTTGGTTAAGCGACTGCCTTCAGCTCAGGTCATGATCCCGGAGTTCCGGGATCAAGTCCCACATCAGGCTCCCTGCTCGGCGGGGAGTCTGCTTCTCCCTCTGACCCTTCCCCCTCTTGTGCTCTCTCTCTCACTCTCTCTCACTCTCTCAAATGAATAAATAAATAAAAATAGTCTCCCTTTTGTTAAATAATGTTCACGGTATTTTATAATATGATAACTTGACAAATAAAAAGTTGGCAATGTTATGTAGATACTCCACCCACTCTAAATTTTTTGAAATTTTACAGATTTGTGAAATTCAACACTCTGGACACCTCTGCCTTTAAAGGATTTAAAATAAGAAACATGTTAGAAAGATTCAGTAAATGGGAGGGATGGCACATTGGTGCCATCTTCCAAGGTCTAGGAAATATAACTAAATTCTAATTCAGGAATCATCTGAAAGATTCTCCACTTCTCCACTTCTCTATTTCTCTAACAAGCCTCCTGCCTTGTTAATTCCTTTCTCTCTCTGGTCCTGCATGGTTTTCTATCCTATTAATATCAATTTCTGCTTTTCCCTTTGTTTTGTTTTGATTTAATTTCTATATATCGCTCTAGATACCCTCCCTCTTACTAACTTTCCAAAGTTCCATCTTCTAAATAAGTTGCCCAAATCTAAATTATTCTAAAAGCCTCCTAATTCCACCTTCCCCTTATTTACTTGTATTACCAAAGGCATTTTCTCTGTCTTCTGTTTTGTTTTCTTTTTTTCAAAGGTAATATGTTCATCATAGAAAATTTAAAGAATGACAAAAAAATCACATAGAAAAAAAATGAAAATGAACCATAATTCCACCAATTAGACATAAGTATTATTAATATTCTGGTCATAGTCAATGCTGGAATCATACTATATATACTATCATTAAATACCTGTTTAAATCACAATTTTTAAATGTTTTTATAGTATACCTGGGAGACTATCATAATTTATTTAAAAACCTCTTGGCTCAATTTTTTTTTTAACAAGGAGAGTTTAAAAACAGTATCGCTTACTTGTTTCTTGGTACCAAATTAGAGCACAATAAAAATAAATAAAAACAAAGTAACAGGGGCGCCTGGGTGGCTCAGTTGGTTAAGCGACTGCTTTCGGCTCAGGTCATGATCCTGGAGTCCCAGGATCGAGTCCCGCATCGGGCTCCCT